GTGCCATAAATAGCCCCACAATTTGGACATTCGGCATAACTTTCGTTAACTTGAGCTACAAACAGGAAACATGACATGTCAACAATTAAACTACTTACAACTTTCATTTTCTGTTTCAGTGGAAATACTCTCACTATTCTGACTGATATTAAGAGTTACTAATTATTATAAATGAAACTTTAGTTGAAAACAATACATTATTTACCACTCCTAGTTCCTCGTTTAACACAAGTACTCCGACTATTATCAGCGACAGTTGCTAATGCATTACACAATAAATACAATTTAAAACAATACACTACTTACTACTCTTAGTTCCTTGTTTAGCAGAAGTACATGTACCTTGACTATTATCAGTGACAGTTACTAATGCACAATAAATACAATATAAAACAATACATTATTTACCATTCTTAGTTCCTCGTTTAGCAGAAATACATGTACCTTGACTTTTATCACCGACAGTTACTAATGTATTAAGTATTAAATACAATATAAAACAATACAATATTTACCACTCCTAGTCCCTCGTTTGGCAGAAGTTCCTTGACTATTATCAGCAACAGTTGCTAATGCATTACACAATAAATACAATTTGAAACAATACACTATTTACCACTCCTAGTCCCTCGTTTAGCAGAAGTACATGTACCTTGACTATTATCAGTGACAGTTACTAATGTACAATAAATACAATTTAAAACAATACACTACTTACCATTCTTAGTTCCTCATTTAGCAGAAATACATTTACCTTGACTTTTATCACTGACAGTTACTAATGCACAATAAATACAATTTAAAACAATACACTACTTACCATTCTTAGTTCCTCGTTTAGCAGAAATACATTTACCTTGACATTTATCACCGACAGTTACTAATGCACAATAAATACAATTTTAAAACAATACATTACCATACAAGATGATTTATTGGCAAGGAATTAATATTGGAGATTGGTGGTTCTATGAAGAAAATTGCCAATATAAAATCTGCCATTTTGTTTCAAACTGAGCATGCTCAATGGCAAATGGCACAAAATTGCCAAAATAAAATTGACCAATAAATTTCTACAAGCAAATTCGCCGCATATTACTCCTGCCAATAAATCATCTTGTACGGTATTTACCACTCCTAGTTTCTCTTTCAGGAGAAGTACTCCGACTACTATCAGTAACAGTTACTAATACAAATAATTATACAAAAATTATAATTAAAACAATACATTATTTACCACTTCTAATTCCTCGTTTAGCAGAAGTACTTTGACTTTTATCAGCAACAGTTACTAATGCACAATAAGTACAATTTAAAACAATACACGACTTACCACTCCTGGTTCCTCGTATCAGTCGTTTGGCAGAAATACATGAATCAGCAACAGCTACTAATGCACAATAAATACAATTTAAAACAATACGCTATTTACCATTCTTAGTTCCTTGTTTAGCAGAAATACATGTACCTTGACTATTATCAGTGACAGTTACTAATGTATTATAACTATTAAATACAGTATAAAACAATACCCTATTTACCACTCCTAGTCCCTCGTTTGGCAGAAGTGCCTTGACTATTATCAGTGACAGTTACTAATGCACAATAAATACAATATTAAAACAATACATTCTTTACCACTCCTACATGTAGTTCCTCGTTTAGCAGAAATACATGTACCTTGACTATTATCACCGACAGTTACTAATGTATTTAAGTATTAAATACAGTATAAAAACAATACAATAATTACCACTCCTAGTCCCTTGTTTGGCAGAAGTTCCTTGACTATTATCACCAACAGTTGCTAATGCATTACACAATAAATACAATTTAAAAACAATACACTATTTACCACTCCTAGTCCCTCGTTTAGCAGAAGTGCCTTGACTATTATCAGTGACAGTTACTAATGCACAATAAATACAATATTAAAACAATACATTATTTACCACTCCTAGTACTTTCTCTTTCAGGAGAAGTACTCCGACTACTATCAGTAACAGTTACTAATATAATATACAAAAATTATAATTAAAACAATACATTATTCACCACTTTTAGTTCCTCGTTTAGCAGAAGTACATGTACTTTGACTCTTATCAGCAACAGTTACTAATGCACAATAAGTACAATTTAAAACAATACACGACTTACCACTCCTGGTTCCTCGTTTAGTAGAAGGACTCTTACTAATTACTAAAAATATTATTATACATTTATTTAAAAATTAATAATAATAAAGGTAATTTATAGGGTCAATGGCAATGGAAAGTTTGGTACAGCCTTATGTTGCATAATTTAACTATGAAAATTTTGATAGTAAAAGCTTACCTTTCTTTGCTAACAGCTCTTCCTTTTCTTTCTTCTTTAATGCTCTTTCCAATTTTCTCTGTTCCTTTGCTTTCAATTCATCGTCTTTCTTTTTCTTCTTTTCTTGTAGCTGTCGAATGTTCTCTGTACTAGTCAGCACTTTTGAAGAAGTCGTCTTATTTATTTCTGGTAGCTTAATTTCATGACTTTTTTCTCGCAGTAAACTAGACATTGCTGATGTACGATTGAAAGGTAAGCTATCATCATCAGTAAGTGGGGTGGAATGACGAAAACTTTCATGACGCTGCTTCAGCCACTGTTGATACCTCTCATCACCTGGCAGATCATAATGCTCATCTAATCTTTTCTGGAAACGAACTTCTTCTTCATGAGTGAACTCAATTAATGCTGAGTGACAGTCACTGTTATTATTATCATTAGAAATATCAGCTCGTTGCTCAGCAATACATGTAGATGAGTTAAAATGAGATATTACTGGGTCTGATTCTACTTCTGATCTAGAATTTGGCTGAGGTTCATCCTGTAATGATCGAAAATGAGAACGTCGGCGACTGTGAAATGGAATATACTTGATCCCCGTTCTTTCACATAGAGATGAAGTAGCAGCTGGAGGATCTGGAATCAATGCAGCAGGATTAAAAGGGTAAATGCCTGTTGTTTTAAATCCAGCCATCACATTCTTTGCAGTCATCCCTTTTTGCCATGCCTTTCCAAATATCTCAGAAAACTGAAATCGAGTTATAACTTTTCCTCTATTCTCAGATAAGTATTTGTGGCATTCTTGTCTCCAAAATGACTTCAAGGGGGCAAAACAACCTTTATCTAAAGGTTGAGTCTTATGGGTCGTGTGTGGGGGCAAACAAAATATTATAACCTTCTCGCTTGCTGCTTTTTGAATTGTATCAGGGTTAAAGTGAGATGAATGCCCATCCAAAATCAAAAGTAAGGGTCTTGATGCAGGAGCATATGCTAAAAAGTGATTCTTAAACCACCCATCAAAGATTTCACTATCGATCCACCCAGACGATGTTAACCCATACATTGTTTCAGGTACCTCTCCTATGGTAAGCTCTGGCTTCAAAACTTTGCTGTTAAAAATAACTAGTGGAGGTATAACATGGCCAGAAGCACCACAGCAAGCTAACACCGTGATTTGGCCTTTCTTCCCTGAAGAAATTAATGATGGGTGATGCTGGCCTCTTCTGCATACAATATGAGGTGATTTTGGATCAAGGGGAAAACCTGATTCGTCCATATTGAATATTAATGATGGAGAATCCATTAAGTCATTGTTGATCAATACTGTCTCTAATTCTTGAAAATACCTAGTAAGAACTTCAGGTTGATCATTGCGAACTCTAATATGTGACATTGGTTCCGGCTTTCGTAAAACAACTGCAGGATGCCGCTTTCTGAATCCATCCCACCACCCATTACTAACTGTTCCATTTAAGCCTTTCCGGACAACAACATCTTGTACCATATCCATTATATCCCTTCTTGTATAGCCATATCCTATTTCAGAATAACCAACAACAAATGAAACCAGTTCATCTTCTTCCTCATCTGACAAGTATCGCACTGGACCACTCCTTTTACCAAACTGTGTCCGACCCGAAACTCTATCAGCTAATGTTGTAAATGGAACACCGTATTGCTCAGCAGCCCTTCGTATGCTAACACCTTTATAAACAACATCTTCATATGCAGAAAAAAGTTTCTCAGCATCATAACTTTTATACTTAGGAGGTCTTCCAGGATTTCTACAAACTGCTGGATAAGTGACAGAGCTCCTTATGACCCGATCTTTAAGAGGCCGACTATGAGTCATATCTATATGTATTAATAAAAATGCACCATTAAATATTACATTAAACAAACTTAACAGATGCAGTTAAGTTTTAATTTAGGACCAACTGTACTGCAATCACTCATGCATGACCATTTCAATCAGGGGATGAGAGTTGTCTAGCTCTTAATTAAATGGCTGAAATCCCAATATTGCAAACATGAAAAGTAGTGATTGCTGGAGTACTCATATTCGGGGATTGATACACCAATCAAAAAGTGGGAAGGGTCAAGTTTGAAAACATTCATAACATGCCACCAAAATTAATATGTATGTATACATTCGTTACACTAATTTATACTCTTTGGCAATCAATACTGAATTTAAATTGTCATGCTGCTATCATATGTAATAGTAGACTGGGCAATTACCAGTTGTGATTCACCAAAGGAAAAGTGGGGTCTCTGGCCCTCCTGCATCTAAAGCTAGCCCGAGAGCTAGCCCCCCCTCAACCACAGTGATATATTTACAGTGGCATGCCATTAAAAATCTCCACTATGTGCATCATTCCCTTTATAACAACAAGAAATCTCACCTAACTATCCTCTTCACACCTCTACTGAGCTCTTCTTCCAGAAAAACAAGAGAAAACTGAGGAGAACACAGGCCATGTGACAAAAGTTGCTATCTCGATTATGTGGGTGTGGTCTTCGTTGCAAAGAAGGCAACAAAGACTACTGAAACTGTTCGTAGTAAATTCTATAATTTTACTGTCAATAGTACAAAGGTAATGCTTTACTATAATGATGATAAACAGGAAAGGATTACTCTATTGTAAGTAGAAAAAATTAATATCGAAAATTTATGTTGTTTACGCGAACAATTAATTGTTTGATATGTAAACATTTTTATTTATTATTGCAGAACGCAAGGAAATTTATGGAGCTATTTCAGCTGTATTTGTAGAGGGACTAATGCTCTATGTTCGAAACATAACAGCTTCTTTATCAACCTACTGTAGCGTGAAAACAACCGTTCGAATATTGATAGTGTACGATGATTCGTGTTTTACTCTACCCCAGAGTACAGCATAGCTGCAAAGACTTGGTAAATTGCCAGACGATGAAAAAAGACCCCAAAGAGCTTAAAGTAAGCAGCCATAGCTATTGCAATTAAGCACACAACGATTGCAGCAACTCCCACTGTAGACATTGACACCAATATTTCTTCATGGTGAGGAATAAGTTCAGGCTCGCCCATCATTTTTTAGGTGGAAAGAGAAGACCTGAGATCTAATTATAGTTTCCCGCCGTTTGCATAGATCTAGTTCATAGATATTCATAGTGTAGATCTAATAAACATAATTACATGATTAATTCATAGGTATTTCAATTATTTACTTAAACTTTACAGCAACAATGATTAGGAGGAGGAAACAAAGCAAGACAATAGAAACACTGAATGCTTATGAACAGTTTAACAAAAATTAATAAAAAGCAAACAAACACACTCAATTGGGAGTTAATTCATTGTTTTATAATCTTGCTGGTTGCGGGAGTGAGCTAAACTTGCCCTTTCGCTCATACTATTCAGGTTTTCTTCACGTGCAACTTCACCTTGTGTATTTGAATACCATTTAAAAATAACAATGTGAATAATGAGAGAGACCCCAGCCAAGAGTCCTACCAATGGTAGTGATATAGCACTCCACATAAAACTAGTAAGATTTGGACTTTTAGAAATAGAACCAATTAATCGATTAATGAATGCTGGTATGTAGAAAGCAAAAGATAATATTGGGTAACTCACAAGTGGCAGCATCACTTTCAAAAGATTCTTTCTTTTAATCTGCTCCCAGTTTGAACAGCTATCTCTGTAGCCACAGCAATTATAAGCCTCTCGTATAATTGTTATTATTATGACTACAACAGCAACACCAGACAACAGCAGACAAATGAGAGCAGGGCCATATAGAAGAAAATACTGCTCATATTCTCCCTGAGGTAGGTTATCTGATGCATTATCATTTTTCCAGTTTTGTATCCAGCACCAAGCTCCAGCCAAACCATAAATGATTCCGCTTGAGTTAATGCTAACAAATGGTATCCAAGTAAACAGCAAAGGCCCAAAAATAGATACAAGTATGTATATTGTTTCGATTCGATTAATTAGATTGTGAATTCTTTCACAGCAACGGGTACAAATTAAGTAAAAAAACAAATGGAAGGTCAGGCAAAATGTGAACATTAATTTAATCCACATTGTGTACTCTAACATGAAGCCCTCAATGACACAAATGGGATGATAAACAGACGGGTTTTTGTCATAATTGATAAATACAACTTGTAGAACACATACCACAGAGTACAGCATAGCCGCAAAGACTTGGTAAATTGCCAGACGATTCGGAAAAAAGACCCCAAAGAGCTTAAAGTGAGCAGCCATAGCTATTGCAATCAAGCAGACAATGATTGCAGCAACCCCTACTGTACCCATTGACACCAATATAACGAACTTTTCATGGTAAGAAAGAAGTTCAGACTCGTTTCCATGACCCATTTTTTGATAAAGAAGTAGAGCAACCTTGTCCCGTAGGAGTTAACTGGCGTAGTTATGTGGTCCCAAAGCATTTGTACCCCCAATTATAACCGTAGTATGATCCTTTCCTGTTTGTGAGAGTATACTAAAGTCCATTTGTGTTCACCTGAGCCCTTGTTTTCTTCCAATAACTTTTGACTTACAAGTTCTATTGTAAAAATAAACATACCAGTGTATTCCTCTCCTTTTGCCGCATCTATTGTACTACTTAAGAAGCAGCTTTAGCTCTTTAGCTCCAAGTTGGCTGTATAACCCATGCAGAAAGTACAGCCATACTTTTCACAATATTATTGCATTGTGTTAATTATTGGGTGGGGTTTCTAATCA